TTATTGTGATTAAAGTAAAATTATATTAAACCTGAAAGACTTGATCTTAAAGATAAACAGCAAAATGCAGGCAAACTGTTATATCACGTCTGACAAAATTTTTTTGGCATCTACATTCCCTCACAGTTGCCACGTTATAAATAATATAGTTTATTAAGAATAAATGCTTGCTATAAAGTTCAGCTGAAAAGTAAATATGTGTCTGTGCTGCAGACTACCTCTCCCTGGTTGCCTCCTGACAATGTTTCCTGATGATGATGATGATGATGATGATGCACTCACTGAAGACAGCTCCCTTCATGGTGGGCGGATCCGCTCCTTCAAGCACGAGAGAGGAAACTGGGCCACCTATGTTTATCTGCCATGTAAGAAGAAACAACCAAAACAATTTGAAATCCTTCTGTATTCTGATTCCTGAATGATTGAAATATTCTTGTGTCAGATCCTCCTGATGAGGAGTTTGAGGAGGTTTTGGAGGAGTTGCTGTCAGCCTTGAGGGCTCAGGGTCTGACTTTGACCCGGCAGGAGGAGTTCCACCTCAGTGTTTCTCAGACAGTGGTGCTCAGACACCACTGGATCCAGCCTTTTACACAAAGCCTCCAGGCAGGCCTTTCACACTGCAGAAGGTTAGTTTATTGCTACTTGATCCCATGAAAAACTTTATTTGTTTCATTTCTAGACTTTCAGATGAAAGTTGAAGTTGTTTCCAAATGCAACCTGTTTTCGATTTTAAATTATCAAATTTGGAAAAAAGTGTGACTCATGTTAAAGATGTGAATTTCTGTATGGAATTATTTTTATTTTATTCCACCTGCGCTTAAAGATTAAAAAAACTTCAGATCCAGATAGTTCCTAATCTTAGCTTTTAGATAAATCTACTTTCTTACCATTCCTCAATTTTTTTAAGGATTGTTTAAAAAAACAAAAAAAAAAATTACAGATGATGATTGAACAGCATCCTGTAGCTAAATCCTTATATGACAGATAAAAGTGAGTTCACATTATGATGTTCTCAGTAAAGCTTCTTCCTGTTGGCAGGTTTGTGTGTTCAGGGGGGACACTGAAGGTCTACTGTAATGCTGAGAGGACGAGGTAACATCTTTTAGCTATTTAACCAGCAGATTTATCTCCTTCATCAGAAACGGACAGTTTATTGGTTACTCTGCCAATAACATTCATTTAATTCTGCTCAGATTATGAGTTATATGCTGATGAGTTATAGATCTTTCTTTTCTGACTGTAAGGATAGATTTAATCGAAGTTGAAGTAATTAAAAAGTCTCCTGTTTGTAATTCTGAACAACCTTATTTGACTTAAATCCACTTTAAACCTGTTTTTTCCCTTTCTGTGTGCTTTTCGACATTGATCCCTTATAGGACCTTTTTGGGGATGGAAGCGACCGTCGGGCATGCTCAGTTGTTGGATCTGGTCCGGGTTGTTGACAAAACGATGGCGGAGTTTCGACTAGACACGTTCTATAAGGTCAGTTAAAAATTCACCAAAAAGGACAAACAAACATTAAAATCTGCAGCCAAAACCGTTTTTTAATGAAATTTTAATCCCTTTAAACTTTAGGGTTCCTGACTGTAGGTCACTCAAACTTGCTTTTGTTTTACTTGTTCGACTTTATCTAAAGTAATAATCTACTTTACTTGATTTAAATAGTTTTCGCTTTAGGCTGATTATTTATCTTTCAATACAAACACTAATGTTTTCTCTGTTCTGTGATCTAGGATCCTTCTTTCCATATAAGTCTGGCCTGGTGTGTGGGAGACCTAACAGAGAAGATGAAGGAGATCTTACATGACCTGCAGGTGCATGTTTTTTATTGTTTTTTTATGGTCATGGGGTCTATCTCAGATCTTTATGCCTTGTTCTTGGTCTCCTTTAATGTGTTTTTGACAGATTTTATCAAGCTCACTTTTTCAGCTTAAACATAAAGCCTTTTTGAGTTTTCTTTTTTTCTTTCGTGTCAACCTTGTGGTATATAGTATGTAATCTAAAGAAGGAAATAACTAAAATGCAGAAAAACATGGTTCAATCATATTTTTCCGGACTACTCTGAGCATGTCCGATGATGACCTTAGACAAGCAGTTTAATGGAGAAAATGTAAAATGCATCAAAATAGTCATAAAACATTTTTTAAAGATGTGTATTAGCATTCTTTAGTAAGTTAAGGATAGAAATAAGCTATTTTAGCACGATAATTACATTATTTATGGAAACCTGGATGTTTATCTGGATCTTGGTTCCGGGATGGATCGGGTAGTGACAACATCTATGGTCAGAACACCGCTGGATACAATATTGTTTTCGTTGCTAATGGTTACTGTAAAATCTCACTGTGAGAACATTAGTTGTTCTTTAATGATTCCACCTTTTTATTTATTGATTTTAAAAAGTAATCATCACACTGCAGTCTTGCTTTCAGTGACAACAAACCTGATTTCTCACCAAATGACATGTCTTTTGTTTAGGGTTTGAAGAAAAGGGAAAGGAAAAACACTGGGTAACATATAAAATCTGTCTTAATCCTGACTTCCGGGATTAAGCAGGACAACCTCTAGTTTTAATAAACATTTACAATGGACACGCAAGGAAAGTAAATGCCTAATTTACTTCAACCTTCAGGCAATGTACTGTTGACTAATGAGTGTTCAAATATTTATTTGACCTGCTAGGAGGGATTCAGCACATTCACCAACACAGCACCCAATTTCAGCACTTAGCAGGATAATAGAAGCTTCCTTAGCATTGAACTAAAAAAAATAAACAGATGCAGTATGTATCAATTTGGAACATGCTGTCATATTTTTGGGACATTTGTTTTTACCTTGATTTCTCATTTTATTACATTATAATAATTGTACACTGATAAATCCAACCTTTAATTATGTTTATTTGTTTGAAAAAAACCTTAAACAATAATCTTTTACAAAATAACTGCTATCAAAATGATGGCATCCTCTAATAACTCAGATAGGTAAAAGTTTCTGAATATCTTTTAGTCATTATATTACCTAAGTTGTTCTATTTGTCCAGAAATCCCTAAATGGTAATCCCTGCATTTTTAGATTCGCCTTTACTATGTATATGACATGAGCTTTTTTCTTAGCAACTTAAAGTGAAAAAGACAAGAACACGTTTTTAAATCGTTCATAATGCTAGAAAATGGGACAATGGAGATCTGTGAGATTTCAGAAACGTGTTTTTTTTATTTCTTTTTTTTTTACAGTTTTATCACTGACTGATCTGCTGCGATGCCTTTTTCTTCATGATAAATAAAGTTTTAAAGCCTCCATATGACCTATGGATTTAAAGTACATACATGTTGATTAGAACTGAATTTTATTTACGGGTATTCAATCAAAGGGGAGCTGAATGCCAAAGTAATTGTAATCCAGGTACTTTATGTTCTATTTTATGTCTATCCATCCTTTTATCTGATTTTTTTTTTTTTCCATTTCCTTCTCTGTAGGGTTTGGTCGATAACCGCGATGAAGGACCATTTCTGTTTATGTTGGCCTGCACAGAAGTTCGCTGTAGGACAGGAAATAAGACTTTTCGCTTCCCGCTGAAACCGTGAAAACCTCAGTGAAGAGTCTGGGTCGGCTGGCTTTGACTCTGCGAGTCGCTGCTGCAGAGCCACAAGAAACTGAGCAGATGTTACAGATGGCTGCTACTGCTCTCAGTTTATAACCTGATCTGGGAACCAGTGAAGACGATCAAGAAACACAGATCTTTTTTTCTATCATAGATGAACTATTTGATTAAAGTTGCTGCTTGTTTTGTAGATCTTTTGGTCCTTTGAAAACATTTTTTTTTTATTGTGTGGCCTAGAAGCTGTGTTAATGTAGGGAAAAAAAGGTTCTCTGAATGGAGGCTTTGCTTTTATTGAGCAAGGAATCCTCAGTGAGTCACACGGCCATATTTATGAGAAAAATGTTGGAGGTGCTTTAATTTAAGAACAATAATGTTCAAACATTTTTACCCTAAATCTCAGAGATCTTTAACAAAAAAATCCAAAAAACAGATGTAAGCAAAAATCAATGAACAGAGGATTATTTGGGAGAGGAAAACACAAGCGCACACATCCGGAAATTACAAACAACAAAAATGATCTGAAAACATCTAAAACCTGTAACCTGTGCTTTAAATTAGTTTTAAAGTTTATTTTTCATAATTACAACATTACAGAACAATATAGCAATTACCAAACTATGATAATTATGATAAATTTCATTACTGGGTCAAATCCTGCGCTGTTTTAACTATCAGGTAAGTGGTAACCCTAACCCTAAGACCTAATTATGAGCTTTCTCCAAAATCATTTGGAGAAAGCCACACCATTAAAATGACACCATGACCTATTTTTAGGAAATAAGTTATGAAGTTACAAATATAAAGTAAAGTAAATATGAGCTGAGTAATAATATTTTATAAAAGTGTATAGTTATAGCTAATAGTAATTTATGGATTATGGGACAGTATTTCATAATCTCCTAAAAATGAGAAGGCTATTTATTAATTGTATTTAAGGCCTATATCTCATATAATTCAGTTTATATTTTTATGGCTCCATTACACAAGGTTTTATTTGCTATTGGGGCTCTCAATGTTCCCAAATGTCCAATAAGAAACAAGTATAAAATCAGCAACATGGGTAGCAAAAAAAAAAAAGAAAATGTGATACTACCCCAACTATACACAAAACCAGCAAATTATAAGAATGTTACAATTTCAGGTTTATACTTATTTATTTATTTTTAACAATGAATCTTAACTTGGCCCCCTTTAAAATAAATGCACCGTTAAGTGAACTTTATATATTTTTTTTAGATTTGAAAAATTGTCATGCTATTCTCTGAATTATAATATTCTCTAAATTATGTATATAATATTTATGATGGTCTCATAAATATCAGACAGCTAAATGATTTTTAAACAGTATATCATAATTTTGAGATAAATCATGGTTATGTCATAATTACAAACTGCGATCACATAATTATTATCACTTATCCATAGATCAGTCATAATTGTAAGAATATTGAAATCATTTTGAGATGAAAAAGATTTTATCTTGGGTCAGAATCCCATAATTATGAAATAATTCATGACTGGTAAATATAATTGATGTAATTCAGTTAATTTACATAAGAGTATCTGGATGCCTTTTATAGAAAGCAAATTACATGGATATTAAGCCAATAACAGACCTTCCAAATTGACTCTAGTTTTAAACTATCCTATCAAAGAATTATTACAATAATTAATGGTTGAAACATACTGAAACACAATCTCAATATGAGATGCTTGATATGAGGGATGTTTCAATAGGTAATGCCATGCACCCACTTCCAGTTGTTTGATCTGTCTGAAATTCTATGTGCACAATTATTTACATCTCTGTAAAGTGACAAAAGTACAGCTCTGAACTACGGTAATTGTGGGTTCTGATTTACAGGTGTTTGATCTGAGTCAAGACTGAAATGGAGCCTGTTGAGTGTCGAGCAGTGATCCGGTTTTGAATGGCCTCATATAGCCTATGATGGGGCGTCATCACCATAAGCTACTTTCATTTCATCAAAAGTCTCCAGTGGCATGCGTCCTTTCAAATACAAAACCCGGATCACTGCTCGACGCTCAACGGGCTCCATTTCAGACTTTACCCAGTTTAAACACCTGTAAATTAGAAAAACCCAAGTTCAGAGCTGTAATTTGCCACCTAATATATAGAGATATAAATAATTGCACATACAAAATTTTTTAGATCAAACAACTGGAAGTGGGTCAGGGGTGTTTCTTATTGAACAGCCCTCATACTACTGGCTGCTTAGATTTCTATGAGGTAGTATCACATTTAAACATGCATATATATATATATATATATATATATATATATATATATATATATACACAAATATATATGTTTACACACACAGAGGGGCAGAGTGTGAATAATAAGTCTGAGTCATGTGTGTTTTACTTGAAGTCTTTTACTGGGCAGAAGGCAGCTTGTTTATGATGCACATTTATAACTCAAAGCAGAAGTGAAAACTTCATAGCATATCGTTTTGGTCTGTGAGGGCATCATGGCACGGTACAATCACTAAGGTCTACAGGTTCTCTCCACATCTGCACAGCAGCAGTTGGGGTTTAAAAAGTCTGAGTATTTAACAAATAACAAGAGAAAAAAGTATAAAACATCCAGAAAAAAGATCAGGTTCATGTCACAGATTCAGGAACAGACTTGTCCTTACAAGTTTCCTCTAATTAAAGCCCCTTAAGGCACACGATTCAACCCAAAACCCAACAAAAACATGCAAACAGGAAAAGGAACCTCTTCCTTGCATTACAGCCTCTTATCTTTTACTCTCTAAAATTGGGATCATAAAACCTGTTTCTATTTGACTAAAAGCAAAAACCTTGATGTGGTTGTGGTCTATAACTCTTGTAACATTAACCACATTCATAAACCAACAACAGCTTGCATGTGTGCAAAAGATAACATAAAACCAAGTTAAATGAAAATGAGACACAGATCTGGAAAATCATTTATAACAATAACAGACATTGTGATTATATGTGTTTTAAAATTTCTGTTACAGTGGAAGGAAGTCAGAAGACTCACACAGCATTAATAAACAATCTCTGTTTGTTTTTTTGACACAAATTCTATTAAAAGTTGGAGAATGAAATCTAGGCTCTATCAAAATTTGAGACCAATAGAAAAGCATTGAGTCTTTAACAACATAAATATGAGAGTTACAAGTATTGGTTTGTACAAAAAACAAGATTCAGGGTCAAGTAAAATCTGAACACTTTGAGATGGGACACTTTGTTGGCATGAATATCAAGCGTTTGGCAGCTTTAAGGGGAGAACAGCACAGTCTTGATGTACTCCACGGTGGTGATGTTTGTCAGCATGTTGACGTGTTCGTTCCCCGGCAGCTCTTTGAGGGCCACAGGCTGCTTCTGCTGCCCTGCCCAGCGTTTGCACTGCACGGCGCTCCGTAGGTTCACCGTCCCGTCCCCGTCGCCGTAAACCACGTCGGGCTCCACGTCTGGGAACTTGTCCGAGTACTGGAAGGCCTCAGGCGTGGGGATCCCGTTGCCGTACAGGCAGTGGACGGCAACGCCGGGGGCAGTCAGGTCCGCCACCAGAGGCTCGGTGTCCTTTCGCATCAGCCAGCCTTCTCTGAACCCGATGTCCGAGTAGAATTTCTCATAGTCCGCCACGGTGTAGTTGGTGGTAGGCGTTTGGATAAAAACCTGGAGACGGAAAGAACAAAAAAATGTTTTTTTACATTTCTGATTCTTTTATGTTCCTGTTATTTTCCAAATATCTTCGAAGCAGGTTAAATGTCACTGAATAATCTAAATTCAGAGCATAATATTCACTATAATGATCTGCAGGATGTAAACAAAGGAGAAGAAACTAAAAGCTGGGAACTTAAACGATACAGTCAGATTTTAATAACAATAAATCACTGATAACAGACCTGATCTTTGGGCCAAGAGTGGGCATAGGGGAGGAGCCAGTTGGTTGTGACGGCAGTTCGTTGCTGTGAGCGGATCTTAAGCGGGCTGATGACCGGGATGCGGTTATTGTCACCTGAATTTAGAGAACAACGAAAACAAAGTAAAGAGAATTGAAAGTTAGGAGTTTCACCATCATGCTTCCAGAGAATTTTCATTTCGGTTTTATTTTGCAGTTATATACATGCAACCTCTGATGTAGAAAAAACTTCAGATATTATATTGTGAACATTTATTTAAAAAATATTATGTGGAATTAAGAAGAAGCTTTGTGCTGCCGATTTACCAATGCTCAGTGTATTTATAGAAAATTTTTCATCAGGGTGAAAAGACATTAGTATAACCTTAACAAGGCAATTTTTGCCCCCCATACTGCTAGAATTCTACTACTGTGACCAGGATATTAAGAGGAAAAAACCTAAACAGAACATTTTGTTTTTTAGTTTGCAAAGGTGGAAAGAATTAGGTTTGCAAAGTTGCAGAAATAACCTGAAATGTCTTTTTTTTTTTTACATATAACTGAAGCAGATAACCCCCCTCAGACCGGCTGTGCAGCACAGCGGTTGAAGGCTAATGATTACAGCTCGTCTTTACAGCAAACAGGTCCAGAAAAAAAAAAAATCGATGATACAAACAGGATGTGATGCAACTGGCTTATGAAATATATGACGAACCAGGAGGAAGACAAGAAATGTCTGTGAAATAAAATACTCAGCTTGTCTGTATTCTTGTCTTAATTAGAGCAAAGGGTTATGTTGCAGAAACGTATTTTAAAAAGCGATCAACTCAAAAAAAATTTCTTTAAGCGCTTCAGTTGTGACTTGTGAAACTGGTCTTCACACTCCTCTCACACAAGCCTCTATGTTCAGATCTGCATTTAATCCTCTCACACACCGACTAAATGTGCTCCTGCTTCTTACTAACCGGATGTAACCACACGCAGGGTTTTGGCCACGCCAGCCCACGGTGGTCCGAGGCATACAAAAGCCTTTATGTATTTGTCTTTCCAGGCCTGCGGCTGCTGGTTGAGGAAGTAAAGTGTGTACATGTTCCCCATGCTGTGAGCGATGAGCACCACGGGTCCTCCAGCCTTCTCTGCCATCTCCTCAATCATCTGCTGCAGAGCCTTGAAATACTCTTTGTTCTCATCTAAAAGAAGAAGAACATTAACCGAAGCTCAGCTCAGAGGTTTAGTTGTTCAATTCTTTTTCCGTATCTTACTCGGAGCTTTCCTCCAGTCATACGGAGCCCCTCTGACATCGTCGTCTCTGGTGTAGCCCCACTC